AGGCGCCCAAAAGTACCAACCTGCAAAACACACAAATAGACCGGAAGCACTCAGGAGGCAGCAATCAGCGACCAATGCTGCGAGTCCTTGCTCTCCTGGCCTGCAGAAGTGGGAGTGGAGGATTCACCAGAAGCGGCACAGGCATGCAGGCAGGAATCAAATCCGGCGCAGCACCAATAGAGCGGCAGAATTCAACACCTGCTATGCTTGCCTCCTCGAAGCGCTAAACCCGGACAGGTTCACCATGAAAAGGACTCACCCTTCTGAAAATCCGCATTGCAGCTGACGATACACAACGCCTCTCCTACGGGCAGACAGGACTCTCAATCTTCCACGCCAGCACGTCTTCCCCTGATCAGACCCCAGCATAGCAGGAACACCTGCATCAACAGCCACTTTCTCTTTGCCTGCCTGGAGGGTTTTGGACTGTGTATCGCCCTTGGAGAGGGTTCGAAATATCCATTGAAGCCGCCTCCTCGGAGTCCTCAGCGCACGGTTGCATTTGCACGCTGCATAGAGAACGGCCGTGTGCTGGCCAAGAGCTACCTGTTTCTAGACAGCTGCCCCTGTGCTGCAGCTCGAAACTTCCAGAGAACCAGTTCACACTCGACACTACGCAACTCTGAGCTCATGAATTTATCTATAGCCTCTAACTAGAACGCAGATACAAGAACCAGAACAAAAATTAGATAACCTGTTTGTTGAAAGGTCGCCACTCGGGCACCTTATGCCACTTTGGCACAACTAGTAGTATGTTATCAGGCCTGCTGTGGGTACTCGGTTTCACGGGGCTGCAGGGGGTACTGAGGGTACTCGGGGTTAGGAATGAAATAGGGGAGGGTAGTGGGGTGTCCATGATGGTGGTGGTGGCCGCCATGATGGTGGTGGTGGCCGCCATGATGGTGGTGGTGGTCGTGGCTGTGGTGGTGGTGGCTCGGGGGCTGGGGCTGAGGAGCCGGAGGGCAGGTAGTGGTGGTAGTTGGGGGAGGGACAGGGATGGGGATGAAGACGGGAGGAGGAGGAGGAGGAGGAGGGTGGTGGTGGTGGTGGTCATGGCTGTGGTGGTGGTGGCTCGGGGGCTGGGGCTTAGGAGCCGGAGGGCAGGTAGTGGTGGTAGTTGGGGGAGGGACAGGGATGGGGATGAAGACGGGAGGAGGAGGAGGAGGAGGGTGGTGGTGGTGGTGATGATGGCCGTGGCTGTGGTGGTGGTGGCTCGGGGGCTTGGGATGAGGAGCCGGTGGGCAGGTGGTGGTGGTAGTGGGTGGAGGAACTGGAATCGGGACAAAGATTGGCGGGGGTGGAGGAGGATGGTGATGATGGGGATGGTGATGATGTGGATGATGATGATGCGGATGATGGTGATGGAATTGCTCAAAAGAGTGGGGGAACTGGGGGAAGTGGGAGTCTGCGGCGACGCTAGCATCATCAGCCAAAGCGAGGGGAAGGAAAGCCCCGAGGGCAGTCGCGAGGGTAACGAAAGCCTTCATCTTCGAGTTCGAGGACCGAAATACCTGATTTCACCTGCCTGATCCCAATGAATAAGAGTGGGAAGCAAAAGGATAACTTCTGATTCCTTGCTGGAGCCACAGGAACAGGCGTGCACTCGCAGTAACGCCTGCTTCCCACAGGGGGGTTTGAGAGGGACGAGGAAACGAGACGGCGACGTTGCCACCTGGGGGGGGCGAGCGCTTCGAAGATAGGAACATAATATCCATCCCACACAGCCGCAAAGCGCGCCTATAGTTGCCCATGCTTTACTTCCTGAGCAGCGCCTACCACCAAACGCAAAGACCTCTCAGTGCAGTATTCGCGATAAAATATCTAGAACGGCGCTCTTCTCAAAAAGCATGTGCACAGAGTGAAATATAGGCAAGCTGGGTACTCCTGCCCTACCCGCTGCTGCACCTTACAACACAGCCAGTGTGACCTCCACCTGGATAGAGACTTAGAAGCCTGCGAAGAAGTATGAAAACGTGGGTGCAGATGTGTTGAAGCACGGGACTGGGCTAATAGATCAAAAGCAAATGCACTGCAGCATTGTCGGCCTCTGGGCAAACTTAGCATGCACCACAAAGGACTGCTCAAGCTTGGTAGTGCCTGTCTCCGCCGCGTGGAAGCCAAATGAAGGGCGAAGCGAAAGGTAAGTAGAAAAGGTGCAGCCACTGAGCGGCAATGAGGCGTTTCTTCCTCTCCACCGCCGTTGAAGTTTCGCTCCACAAGAGGCCTCAGTCCCAACTCGACTAATGGAGCGCCTGTAGGACCTTGAAAAACTGAGATTCGCCGAAGTGCGTGTGCAGCTTTTGAGAGTCGCAAGTTGCTTCGCTACGTCACGTGAAATCGTTGTCTGCCAGACAGAGCCCGCCGCGGCCGAAGCGGCCAGTGTTCAACACTCCCCACACCTCAACAGACCGCGCCAAAGTCGAAACTCTCCCTGTCTCTCACTCCTTTCCCTGACGAGCTCACACAGTACTAACGACACTGCAGCCGCGCAAAACGCGCCAAAAGAGTCCCTCCCGCGCGCTCCGAACATCTTGCCTCACTGAGAAGCCATTTCTCCGCTTCTCCTTGAGTGCCTCTCGCCTGTGCTCACATCCGCAGGTCACAGACCTGCCCGAACAAAGCAAGCAGCACTACTTGCTGGCAGATCCGCAAGTAGTGTGCCCAAGTTATCCGAGTGGCTGCCACGTCTAAACTCCAAATTCGTTGCACACTGCGTAGCACGACGACAGCGTTGCAGGGCAAACACTCCGCAAAGCACGGACAGCCGCACTAACGCCGTCGTGTCCATAAGATCACACACAGGTGCATGGCGTAGCCCACGGACAGAAAAGCCAGATGAACCGGATGCAAAGGAATCAACCAGGTTCAGGAAGCTGACGCAAAAACGACCCCTAGGCCTGGTAAGTTGTAGTAGTAAAATGAAAATAAGGGCCTGAAGCGAAAATGAAAGCCGGCGCAGCAGCGTGCGCGCCAAAGCAACCGCATATATGGACAGTGCAAACCGTCAAGTTGATGAAACGCTCAGTACACCAGCTGAGTGCCACCTCCAGCGTACACGACCGCAAAATCAAAAGGGAACTGAGTGAGCGCCTGAGACCGAACAGTTAGACACGCTGCGACAGCAAAAGCAATCTGCCTTTGAAAAGGCTGATGCTTCGTTGTAGCGAGCAGGCACATCCCCGCTACCGGGCGAGTCTCGCTAGCCAAGGGGCCAGGCGCCCAAAAGTACCAACCTGCAAAACACACAAATAGACCGGAAGCACTCT